ATGAATAAATGTGTTTTTATTGATTTTTTTAAATAAACTCACGTTTCGTAATTTGGGCATTTCAGTTTTGGGAGGTCATTACAGACGAGCACGGCATCGATCCAACTGGCTCATATCATGGAGATTCTGACCTTCAGTTGGAAAGGATCAATGTGTACTTCAATGAAGTTACAGGTATTGTATTTTGTTAAATCGTTTTATCGAACATTTTGGTTTCGTCTCATCATAAAGAAGGCAGTGTATATGATTTGTATTTTGTAATATTTGGCCTCTTCTGACATACTGTAACTTGATTGGGGAATCGGCAATTTTATAGGTGGAAAATATGTTCCGAGAGCTTGCCTCCTCGATTTGGAACCAGGCACAATGGATGCAGTGCGATCGGGTCCTTTGGGGCAAATCTTCAGGCCCGACAACTTTGTTTTCGGTGAGTAAAAGCTGTGAATTTAAATAGTTAAAAACTAATTAGTGTTAACAATTAAACGGAAATAAATCTGTGCAATGGGTCACGCGCCAATATCTACATGTGAAATTAGAATGTTTTATAACATACTTCGCTGCGTTTGATTGTAGGACAAAATGGTACGGGAAATAACTGGGCAAAAGGACATTACACTGAAGGAGCCGAGCTTATTGATACTGTACTCGATGTTGTCCGCAAGGAAGCAGAGGGCTGTGATTGTCTTCAAGGATTTCAGCTCACACACTCTTTGGGCGGTGGAACCGGCTCTGGAATGGGAACGCTGCTGATTTCAAAGATAAAAGAAGATTATCCCGACAAAATCAATAACACATTCAGCGTTGTACCATCACCCAAAGTATCGGATACCGTTGTTGAACCTTACAACGCCACACTGTCGGTTCATCAGTTGGTCGAGAACACTGATGAAACATTCTGCATCGACAATGAAGCTCTACACGATATCTGCTTCAGAACTATGAAGCTCACGACACCAACTTATGGCGACTTGAACCATCTTGTCTCAGCTACGATGAGCGGTGTTACGACTTGTCTTCGCTTCCCCGGACAGGTAACGATGGCTCTATGCCGCAGCAAAGTAAATAATCGATATTTGGCTAGGGCAAAAAAACTGCGTAATTTTTTTTTGGCGAATTTCTTGTGGCTTTGTTCTATTATTGATCAAGCTGGTTCAGACTCTCTCACAGATGAACTGAAAGAGGATGAAATCTTCATTAAATGTATATTAGACACTCGTTTTTCTCAACATATATTTCGGGTCACATGACTTATCACGTGACCAAACTGCTTCTTCTGCGTAAGCCGTTGTAAAAGTAGCTTCACACTAGACAATACCACTAGTCATTCACCCAGTCTATCTATAAAACGGAACGTCCGTAGTCTCAACTAGATAATCCAGATTTCTCAAAAACGTTTTTTTAATCATCGATTTAACACATGACCCTTACTTGGTCATCACTCGTAACTGGCCTATGTTTATCAAATATCCATTATTAATCTTGTTGCTAATTTCGTCATATGCAAAACTGACACGATTTTCCTCGATTTCCCAGTTAAACTCTGACCTCAGGAAACTGGCCGTTAATATGGTTCCTTTTCCTCGTCTTCACTTCTTTATGCCTGGATTTGCCCCCCTCACCAGCAGAGGATCGCAGCAATACCAAGCACTAACAGTGCCAGAACTAATTCAGCAGATGTTTGATGCCAAGAACATGATGGCTGCATGTGATCCAAGGCATGGTCGTTATCTGACGGTGGCCGCCATGTTTCGTGGCCGAATATCCATGAAGGAAGTGGATGAACAGATGCTGAATGTTCAGAATAAGAACAGTTCCTACTTTGTGGAGTGGATCCCCAACAACGTCAAGACCGCGGTCTGTGACATCCCTCCTCGTGGACTGAAGATGTCTGGTACTTTCGTTGGCAACTGCACCGCTATACAGGAGCTGTTCAAACGAATTAGCGAGCAGTTTACTGCTATGTTTAGGCGAAAAGCTTTCATGCATTGGTACACTGGTGAGGGAATGGATGAGATGGAATTTACCGAGGTAAGTATGAGGTCAACACTATTCCACTTTAAACTTGGCTGCAAAAACAGGGCGGGGCTAGGTGTTAAAGGCGTTCCTTTGTTTTGATACCTTATTTGAGCAAAACGCATCTGGAAACATTCGGTAAGAAACCTAGTTATGAGATTAGGAGCGTAGATCGTCTTTTCCAGCTGTTAGGCTGGCATAGTTAATACGAATTTAGATCGTTGCGTCTTGTACAATGCGACAGCTGCGCTTATATATATCATTTTACGGTTGAAATCTTCGTGGTTTAATACCTAATTGCGGACTCCTCTCCAAAACGAGGATCCATAATTTACAGAAAGGACCGCCAAGAAAACGAGGCTTATAAAAGTATTACATGTTGAACAAGAAAAAAATTGCCTTACTTTATTTTTAGGCCGTAGTTTGGCTGTTTCTTCCTCCCAAAACATGTCAAATTTTCCGCCGTTTTCTACAGCCTAACGTTCCCAGCCTCGTTCCCAGGGCTTATCCTATAGTATTGACGTCATTTTATCGTATGTCGCAAACTTCTCCGCTTTTGACACCAACATGACCGCCGTTTTATAGCCCATTTCTAAGTTGCTCCAGCCTCTTTTTCCAAGCGAGACTAAGCGCGAAGCCATTGATATGCAAATGATATTCATTCTCATGCAAATAAAGCTCATTATCATTCCAAGTAAAGTTTTCTTCCTTTTCATTGGTCGGGAGCCCACCACGTGACCTGCAAATAACTGCCTACAAATAATGGACTGCTCATGCGCAATGTGGTCCAACCGTGTTTGGCTTTGTGTTTGGCTGCAAATAATAATCTGGTCATGCGTAAAAGAAACCCGCTTTTCTCCTTCTTTCGATCGCTCTTGCGAGAAAATGGCAGCTTCCCAAAGATATTTATCAAAAAAAAAACTCGGTGACTGAATGGTAAAACAATTATCACAAGAAAGGTTTTTCACTTAGCCTCGTTTCTAAAGTGAGGGTTTTTGAAACTCGGAAATGGCCTAATGTCTTGGTGCACCTCTGTGGCGGACGTGAAGTCATATGAAAAACGCTCTATACCGGGTTTTGAAGAATTCGCCTTGGGATTTGAGCCAATCGGAAATTTTGGATGAATAATAATTGAACCGGATATTATCTTAATGTAACCAGTTGCTTTATTCTGTTTGCAATTGCAGGCCGAATCTAACGTGCATGACCTTGTGTCAGAGTACCAGCAATACCAAGACGCTACAATTGAGGAGGATGGCGAGTTTGAAGAAGAAGAGGAAGAAGAAGGTGAAGTGGCATAAAACTCACCAGAATGATACAAACCAAAACAAAGCGCGTATTTCCAAAGCTTATGATAAAAAACAGAATATATTATAATGCGAAACTCATCTTAAAGCAAGAACAAAGTTAATAGAATAAATAAATAATAAAGAACGATTTTTGAGGTTGCACATTTACGTAGTGGTTCTTTGTCTGCCACTCTTGGTGGAAGTGGAAACAGGAAATGTGGGGCAGCAAGGGAGAGAACCAACAACAAACTCAACATTCATATGGCATCAACACTGGGATTTAAGCCCGGGGCACAATCTTGGGAAGCGAGTGCTCTAACCACTGCACCACCCTTAAGCCCCTTCAGCACAGGGTCCAGAGGAGTTTCGTGTGAATATATGAATTACTTATTTAAAGTCTCACCTTGAAAAATGTCTATACCAGTGTCGCTTAGCACGATTAATTAGCCCAATGGCATCTTTACAAATCTACTGTAAACGATGATCGACTTTTGAAAATCGATGACCGCAAGCCATATCCTCGCCGGCGCACGGCATATCGCCCGAAGGGCGACCGAGGCACGAAGTGCAGATCTTGCGAGCCCTCAGTCTCTTGGTTTGCGGTCTATAGAATGTGTAACGAAACTGTAACGCGATCAAACTAACCCATTTTTTCGGAGGTTTTCGACGGGTTTTGATGTTCTAACGACAAACACATCTCCTCTGGACCCTGTGCCTTCAGTTAACACTGAAAAGGAAATTAAACCCTTGGCAAAAGCACATCGGAAATAACCTAACCAGTGGCTGATCCAGGGGAGGGGCCCGGACCCCCCTTATTTTTAGACCAAACTGAGGCCCGAACGGCCGAAAAATGTTTTTTTTGAGACCAAGCCCCCCTTACCTCAGGGTCTGGTCTCGTAACTGTTCACCTTAGACTAACAAACCAGAGGCCGACGGAGCGCTCATTTCACCCCACTCTCTCTTTCGGTGCTCCGTTTTAAGGGTATTTAAAGCTACTTAAAGCTAAACGGAAAGTAAAAAAGTCGAGACAAGGATTTGAGGTCAGACCTGGGAATCGAACTCGAGACCTTTCACAAATTACCTCGAGCAGCTGAATAAGGACTTCTTTATTATCAGAAAAGGGAAACAGCCGCACTTAGAGGTTAAAAGGATTAATTTTACTTTACTAAAATTCCTTTTTCCAAACACCCAACAAAAGCGATTTGAGGACGTGGTTTTATTTTGCTATTTGCTGCTTGGAACTGGCGCCGTGTAATAAATTCATTGTACAGTTTAAAATACTATATTATCACAATTCTATCAAATATGAACAAATACAATATTTAACAAAAACTTGAAACGCTGGATATTTGTGATGAATGGCTTGTCTTGAAGCTTGGTCACGTGATCTTCCTGAAATTTGACGTCATTTGTTCCGACTTGCTTAATTTGTAAAACGTGGGCGAATCCTCCCGGCTTCTTAAAGACCATATCCAAGTTTTCAAGAGAAAGAAAAATTCGTCGTCGTGTTTTTACCACCCTTCATTAAAATTGGTTGTGCCAAACCTGGATAAGAAGGCCCCAGAAGTAACATTCCAGGAAATTTTCTTTTAGAAGGCAGTTTGGATTGGTTCCCTTGTTCCTTTATATTTGTTTTAGTTCGTGACTTGTATCACATTTGATTGACGATAGCTTATTACAGAAGCCTCATGTTGCTCATGTCTGCATTGCTCATGTTTTCTTCACTGACTGAGCATTCTTGAAGACCTGCTTTAACTGCTTGTCACGATCGCTATTATCGCACCCTGTAAAGAAATAAAGATTTAATACGAACATGATCCTTGATTGGACTGCTGAAGGGAATTCTCTTTCGCGTTTCGTTTCCCTTCGCTTGTCTCCTTGCAATCGGGGTAGGAATACATATCGTGTATGAAAACATTTGTGAAAGAAAACAAGGAAAAAAAAGAAACAAGGAAATAAAGTTGAAGTTGCTTGGCGTTGCAAGGTGTGCTGTCCCGCATTAGTTTCCCCATGGGCTGCGTTTATTTCAGGCAAGAAAATTGTAAACTGTGTCAATAAGCAAAACAAAAACTTACTGACCGTAACTATGGATGATATTGATACAACGACCTACCGAAGAACGTATTGGTCGGATAAGAAGGATTTGGTATACAGTCCGCTCCACTGGCATCATCCATGTACACTGGTCCATCATTCCACATTAAGTCAAAACCTCCAACACGCTTCTCCCGCCCAGTTAGTCTTGCAATACACAATGAAAGTAAATCATTAAGACATGAAGTTACCATAAGAACTATTGTTTTCCTTTAGATTATTTTGTGATAAATAAAATCAGAAAACTTTCTAAAGTTTAATGTCAACAACTTTTGTTTATGATCTCGGCAAATTGAAATGTCTATGTAACAAGTAGTATCAGGATTACTTTGCAGAGCGAAGGAAAGTAATTGAATGAAATAGAATTTCAATACTTAAGTTTCATTTTGAAACCAATTGTTGCGTTTGGGACTAGGTCACTCACTCAGCGATGTGCCAAATTGCACCATGGGACTGTTTTGGGGAGAAACAACAAAACCAAAACAAACAACAAACTTAATTTATTAACTAGTAATAGCGCGCTGCTTAATTTGTTTAGAAATGTCATGAATTACCGTAACAATAAAACATTCCACCAGGCAAATGCGACAGCTATACGCGTATGTTGCAAGTGAATCCACCCGACGATTGGTTAAAGACGGGATGAGCACGGGACTCACAAACAAGCACACGGCAGATGGATTCTCTGTTCTGTATCACGTGTTCGTTCGAAAACAATGCATTCTCTATTCTGCATTACGTCATAAAAGTTACCTTACACTACCTTATGTTACATCGCTTCAAGATTCACTCTGCCTTGGAACTGTCGCGCACGGTTTTATTAGGCTGCCGCTGCGCAGCCTCGCGTCTTCGCGAGGCTGCTAGTTGGCAATAAACAGATAATATTACACAAGCAATGCCCGCAGCTAGCAAGGCTATTCGAGGCCAGTCAGTGCGTGCAAAATGAAATTAAGGTTAAAACTAACTAAGGAATGTTTACAGTTTACAAAGACATGAAATAAAAATCGAACAAATTTGGACCCAGTTTTCCGCTCTACCTCGTAATAGCCAATCAAAAAGCGATGTCCCCCAAAACAATCCCATCATGCAACTCGAAACAACACCGAGCAAATCTCATTCACAACCCGAAAGATGTCAAGAGCGGAAGTGTTATTAGTTACTCCGGCTAGGCACTCCAAAAACCAAAAGAGTTGAACTGGTGACTACCAGGAAAAAACCACAGTTGGTGTTCAGAGAGGGACTAAAACCAACCTCGTTTTCAGGATCTCTCTTCTTTACGCTCAGTGGAGCCTGGATCGAGGGGGCGAAAAGCAGAAATATCCTGGGTGCGAAGTTGGAATTAAACTAGGCTCCCGTCAAGCACTATCACAATTTGCCCACGTTGTTTCAGGTTTCCTTGTAAAAACTGCTGTAGCCTGAATAACAGGCGTTATATTTTTTCGCGTTTTTCCTGTGTAATATCTCACTTTACACCCCGTCTTATCTTACGTGCAAAGACAATATGATGATAAAAATATGCGATATAATTTCTTCACCTGTTTTCCATGTCTATGATATGCAACATATCCTCCAACAGACGACACTTAAGCTCGTAATCAGACTGACTGCTGGCAGTGAGAGATGGTGAAGCGTTTATCTCGATCAGCCAACTGTTACAAGAAAACGTAAGAGCGTGACGTCTATTGGCAGTGTATATACATAATTGTGACGGTACTTACTACACAAGGTATATCTAAAGGATATCTGCAGTATATGAGCAGTCAGTAGACCATTTTCGATATATTACAATTCATACTTGACTCCGAGGCTTAAGGGAATAAAACAAAAGAAATCATCTGGAGGCTTAGCAATGAATAATACATTTCTTTTGTTTTCTCCCCCCAAGCCTCGTAGCCAACTATGAATTTTAATATATCAAAAATGGTCTCAAAGGTTCTTCTACTATATTAGTGCGTGGTATAGATTTCGTACACTTGTGATATACATGCAGTATATATGTGCAGTGTAATAACAGATTTGAAATATCTGTAGTAAGGCTCAGTGGAGTTCTACACTAGTATAACTGCTATGTATCTGCAGTAAGGCTGGAATTCTACATCAATCT